GTGTGTGTGTGTGTGTGTGTGTGTGTGTGTGTGTGTGTGTGTGTTTTCTTCCCCAGAATGAGCTGAAGTATGGTCCAGAGTTTCATCCATGGGCAGGTTATCTGAGAAGATTCTAACCAATAGATGACTAGCCTGAGTGTCTTTCAGTGTGAAATCTTTCCTTAGGCTCCAAAGTCTAGTTGCTATCCCTCACATCCTCATATTGCTCTGGGCACCACACCAGGGTGCAGTGTCTGAAGGGCAGTGTGCTGGAATCTTGTGGTGGAAACCATAGGGGCATTCTCTAAATCTTGTTTGTTCTGTTTCTTCAGAAGTAAATGCTAGAAGAAAATTGCCATGGACTCTAGAGCATTAATTCTGGATGAAAGGAGATATTATTCTAGCCTTTCTTATTTCTTTGACCATTCTTTATTTTCATTTTTTAATTGGTTTAAATCCAGAATCCTTGTGTTCTGTCTATATTTTACCCATTTGTATTATGGGAATAATTGTACATCTCTACATAGTAGAGATCTTAATGAGATAATAGAAATATTCTGGGGGCACCTGGGTGGGATTTGGGAGAAGTGACCTTGGCTAACTGAAAAATAACACTGAGCTTCTTTCCTTCCTTCCTAAACACAAACTTTTCGTGAGGCAGCAATGAATATAAGTGGAATGCTTAGAAGCTGAGTCATACAAATACAATTCGGACATCCCTAGGTGTCTGAAAGGAGTCCCCTGGCCTTTTGTATGTGGGTGCCCAACAATCTTTCAACTCAGGAGCTCAGCTTCTCCTCAGAAATTAGACCATCTGCCACTTCCTCCTTCACTCTCCTTACAAAGTTACATAATCACCAACTTGACACTATAATTAGACAGCACCCATTGTGGCCGACAATTTATGAGGCATATAAATTCGTGACTGTAAAGGACGTTACAGTCTTCTGATGGAAGGTGCTCATGAATTGATAAGTTACATTATTGTTGCTTTTTATCCAACAGTCTCAGCTCACCTGATTCCTTCTCGTTGGTCATTCTACATTTTTTAAAACCAAGAATAGATGGCCAATTCAGATAATGCCATCTATTTTAAAGACACTATAAATCACGGTTGACAAATGCTGTACAATTTTAGCCATGGCACCTCCTCTGTGGCAGCTTTATATTGGAGCATTAATAAAATTAATTTCTCTTTCATAAGGGTTTAGATTTGTAATTTATGATAACTGTTTGCTGCAGGCAGAAAGATTAAAAGTGAGTAAACCAATATACCAACTAAACCGCATGTGTCTGGTTTTATTTTCTTTTGTGGAGGGGAGATAGGAGAGGGTTTTAAAAACAGCTTGATGTTACCTGAAACGCTATTCTCATAGGTTCTACTACGCGAGGCTTAACTTTTGTTTTCAGTAAATAATAGCTGCTCAGATTTACATGTTCTATTAACTAGTGCAATTATTTATATGTGGTTAAGCGGAGCAATCAGAATAAGAAAATCGGTATTAATGATTTCCCTTCATAACAACTGCACCCTAATAATGACAGAGCTTTGCCGTTATTGAAAGAATTATAATAGCTTATATGAATCTAATTTGAATCCTAGTGGTTAAGAGCTCTTGGTCATTTACTCATGTGCCTTGAGCAAGTTATGCCACCTTTCTGTGCCTCAGCTTCTTCATCTATAAAATAAGAATGTTTATTATGTTATAATAATATAAGCAAAATAATAATGTTTATCAAAATCATCACCACTTCATTTGGTGACTGTGATGCATAATAAAGCCATTGGTACAGTGCCTAGAACATAGTAAGTGCTTTTATTTAAAGACTTTATTTATTTGAGAAGGAGAGACAGAGACAGAACAGGAGGAGGGGCAGAGGGAGAGACAGAATCCCAAGCAGACTCCTGCTGAGCCCAGAGCTTGACACAGGGCTCTATCTCACGACCCTGAGACCATGACCTGAGCCGAAACCAAGAGTCGGGCGCTCAACTGACTGAGCCACCCAGGCATCCTTAGCAAGTGTTTAATAAATGTGAACTACAAAATCATTATATTTGTAGTAGTGATAGTCGTCATGACAGCAGTAATGTTACAAAACAACCCTATTAGTCAGAGTCTCCATCATCTTCTGAATATTAAAGGTAAGGAACTGTCCATTAGAGATGTGAAGTGCCTTGCCCAACGTACTTGGATTCCCAGCACTTACAGCTCTTGCAGGGGTGACTTCAGTGATGTGCACATTAAGACAGTCTCGGATGAAGTGGAAGTCTGAGTTAGTTACATAACCTGTAAGATGCCCCATTTTTTTTAAAGACTCAGAAATTATCTTATTTTGCTGAGATTTCTCCCAAAAAAGCAGACCAAAGAAAATTTTTATTTGAAATTGAAGACAGAGGGGCACCTGCGTGGCTCAGTCATTAAGCGTCTGCCTTCGGCTCAGGTCATGATCCCAGCGTCCTGGGATCGAGCTCAGACGGGAGCCTGCTTCTCCCTCTCCCTCTGCCTCTCCCCTTGCTTGTGCTCGCTCTATCTCTCTCTCTCAAATGAATAAATAAAATCTTAAAAAAAAAATACTCTGAATGGAATTCTCATAAAGTCAGAGGAAATCTGATATGAGTTCATTTCTAAAATGGCAAATCGGGTATACCAGGTTTTTAAATTTCTGATGGCTTGAAATGAAGTTCCTGACTAAACCCATAATTGAGTAAATAATAATATACCAATAAAATGTAGGGGTGGGAAACTTTCCCCTTCTTCTTTTCTAGGTTCTTTGTCTGGTCTTATAGTTAAGTTGACATAAGAGAAATTAACAGGAGAAAGCAAATTTAATTTCATATGTGCGGGAGCCCAATGAAAATATGAGACTCAAAGAAATAACCAAATTAGGCAATTTTATACCTCCTAGACTAAGAAATAATAAATTTTTGAAGAATTGACAAGTCAAGTTTGAGCTTGGTGTAGTAAATATTTGTTTGTACACCCTTCTTGGCCTTAAATTCTCTGTCTCTGGTGATAACAATGCCTTCCACCCTCCTGATCCAGGGAGGATACCCTCGCATGGGAGATTTATTTCCTGCTTTCAGGAAGACAAAAGAGGATCAGAGTGTCCTTCTTGCACCAGCTATTTCTTAACTAACTTTTTTTAAAATAATCATTATGCCAAAATAGCATATTTTGGGTGGCATATTCTTCTCCCCTTCAGTGTTGCTCCAAAAAACTACGTGTTTTACAGATATTCCAAAAGTATCTCAGAACCCTCAACCTGGAATTTTAACAGGTATATCTTAAATTTAGATTGTAAAACCATATAACAATATATTTGGAAAAAACGCAACTAGAATTGTCATTTCTCGTCTTCTGTCTGAATGAGTCAGATTTAAATTTTATGTGAATTTAAAATCTTTAAATTTTGCAGTTTGATACAGGATACATTTTCATCCTGTTCTTCAGCTCCGTGAACATTCTTATAAACACAAATAGGCCCCCCAAATTAAGGTACAACAAAAGTAAAAGAACAAACTTCACCAGGGGGAAAGCTTGTAAACTTCAATAACCAGTAGTGGGTTCACTGACATTTACAGAAGCATAGATATATTTAAATGCCAGAAGCAATGAAGAGAAAGAGATTGAGGTACCTCAGTGTTCCCTCTGCAAGATAATATTTAGAAATTTTGAGAACTTTATTGTAAACATGTAGCTGCTACTTAGAAGGTTTTCAATGCTTGAAAAATGTTTTACTGTGCTATATGCTGTTATAATAGAAAATTCAACCACTACACACTACAAGAGAGAAGAATGGACCCACTACGGGATAATAAGGGATTGAGGTGGATCTTGTGAACAGGGATAAAACAATAAAATCCCAGATGAAACCGACTGTATATGAGGACGGTAGTATGAACAAGACTCTTGTTTCATGATGTGCAGAAATGTGATTGAACAAATAATAGCACTGATAAATGTTTTTTTCTTTTGCTTTCTTTTTTCCTTCTCTTCCAACCTACCTTCCCTCCCCCCTTCCTTCCTTCCTTCAAAATTTAAAGATTAAAGTTTAAATTGGACATCACTTTTTACACTGTATCTAAAATAATTCTATGGATATTTACTCATTTAAAAGTAATAATATTGATCATAAATACCATTTTATACAGAGCTCACAAATAAGTCTCCTCTGGTATTGTGTATTAAATGGTGTTAGCAAGTGGGGGAAAATAAAGTATATGAGGTTTCGCAGAACTTCTTACCCATTTAAAAACTATTATTTCACATGTACATTTCTCCAAATTATGACACAGTTTCAATATTAAAGTCAACAACATCAAGGCACTGTTTGAGATATATGCAGCTTGTTAACAAAAAAGAACTTTGGTAAGGGAACTGCTTCGGTCTCTAAACCCCACACCTGAGCATGATTCCTCTCTTAGCTGTAGACAGTAAGTGGCAACTATCATTAAGTTCCATGTACTCATATGAAACCACAGTGTACCTAATCCTGAAAATTCAATGGCAAATGTCATTTTTTGAAAGATGAGAGCCAAGTTACACACCAACATAAAGACAAAAAAATTTCAAGAAACTTGCAAACCCTTTAATTGTATATTGTCTAATAATTGGCATGTTTTGAGAAACATTTATGAAACAGCTATGCAATTTAAAAGGGAGGAAACAAGGATTGGGTTTTGGTCTCTTAATCTGATTTTTGGCTTTATTGAGCTAGTAAAAGTCCGGTTTTTGTGGTAATAACTTCATTTAAATTTGATTAGTTAGTAGACATTAACTAATATTAACTAATAACTAATAGGTGTTAACTAACAACTGTTTACTTTTGATTTTCTTGCCTATCTTTCTCCTGCAGTTCTTGCATGCTCTCCCAAAGAGCCCTGTGTATTTATAGACATACCATTGGCTAAAACAGTTACGGCCGCCTCTCTCTGCCTCAGTGACCAACTGGATTGCATTTGTAAATAGTTGCATGGTGTTAGGACAGAGGGTGGCAGTAGGGTTTGCCTCTGGCTCAAAGCAGTCCTCATCAGTAATACATGGTGCATGACTTTATATTTTTAAATGAAATTTAAAACCCTTTCTAGGTTTGTTTTCTCTCAAGTAATGTTCCTTTTAACGTTTTGTTTTTCTTACCTTTCGGACATGTCTTGCTCTGGCCCTCATAAAGCTATTTTTCCAAAGACATTTTTCATCATGTTCCCAGGAGGGGATATGAGAGCTGTCCACCAAGAATCTGCTGCCTCTTTTGAGGGTCTTCCATGTATTCACTGTGACCGAGGAAACAAGCTGTTACCTAGCAACCTGGCCTTTCAGAAGGTATTGTTACCAATCTCTTAGAGCTCATCAAAGGAGTTCTTGTGTTACTGGAGCAGCATAGCAGTGAGCATTGTTTCCAGGGAGTTGTCTACATTGTGGTATAACTGAACCTTGACTATAGAAACATAAATGAAAGCAGAGGGAACAAACCTCTATGGATCCCTGAAAACTTTGCCGTCTTCAGTTCCAGTATTTCATGAATTGTTTGCATCCAGCTTGGGTTTAGCCGAAGTGGCACTTGTGCACTATACCCCTCAGTATTTGGTTTTTTGCTTCTCTTCCGTAGTTTCAGAACTAGCAGAAGGAGCAAAAGGGAAATTACCTAACTCCTGCTTGAAACTTGCTCAGATAAAACGCCTTTGAATCGAAGACACAAAGTTGTGCACAAAAAAGAATAATAGATTAATAATAGATTTTTATTTCAAAGCAAATATTTGCAACTTTTCATAGAAAAAAAGAGAATATTACATTATATTGTATATTCATTGATTGGTCCAACCAGATTGTTTAGAGTGCCTACTATGTGTGTAGTAGAGAACACCGTGAATTTTTAACTTCATGAGCTGATAAAATAAAAGTTTTCTAAATCTTTCCCCAAAATAGAAAAATATTAGCTGTGTTTTTGAAGACTGAGAATTTGTTGTTTGCCAAAAGCACGGTAAACACTTCCATAGTCTTTCCTGCTTCAGAGAACAAGACATTTAGGGAACGATTTTATTCAAAACCTTGTTTCAAAAGAAGATATTTGGCATGTCTTGGAAAAAGCATCATGTTTATCTTTTCATTCCCTTTTCTCATGGGCAGTAATCCATCCATAGACTGAAAACGTTTCAGTAATCTTATGAATGTGTTTCATATCAAAAGAGTGAAAACATATTCTCCTCCGCATTAAGTTTCTGTTAGAACTTCAATTTTACATTCCAAATGCTTTAGGCTCAAAGCTAGCATAAGAACCTTCCAAGTTAAAAAATATATATGTAATTTAACATATTTGATAAAGATCCAGAAATTGATTTATTTCTATCCAGGTTAGTATAGTTTTTAAGGAACTATCAAATATCTAAAATAGTATAGCTCTCTTTTTTTTTTTTTTTTCCATGAGAGGGGCAGAGATGCCAAATATCAGGCATCTCTTTTACCCTTGACTTTTCTAAGCATCCTTGGAATTTCCCCAAGTCAACAATGTAGACCAATATTATCCCGAAATGAATTAATTAAGGTGAGTAAATCACAACCTGTCTTAATTTATCTTTTTAGCTTTTTAGCCCATAGTAACTACTCTGTTCTTCCACTGCCTCAAGCAAAAGCTCTGTAGTACCCTAGGGGTTCATTTCTGACTTTGTCAGAATCCCTGGATCCTTTCTCTCCTCTAGTCTCCCAGATGATTCTCATACCGTCTCCTCTCTCTCTTCTACCTCATGATCTCCAACTCATCCTTATTCTCACCAGAACAATCAGAAAAGAATTTCCACTGGCACCATCATCCATTCATCCACCAGTTCTCATTTACCTGCCCATTTGCTCTGCTTTTCCCGCATTAACAGTTATGACTTATTAATGCTTCCGTCTCCCTTCATGGAATAGATCCTATCCCTTCATCTTTCCTCAAGGCCATTGATCCAGACATTCTTCTACATCACTAATTTGTCCTCTCTACTGAATAATTCCCACAAAGATACAAACATGCTGTAATTTTTTCCCATTTAAAACAGAAACAAAACAAAACGAAAAACATTCTTTGGCCCACTTCTCCCTTCAGCTTCCATCCCATTGCTTTACATCCATCACAGTATGTGGGAAAAGTGTTGAAAGTACTATGCCTGCTGTATCCAGTTCTCCTCCTGGTCTCTCCTGAGCTCATTCAAGTAATCTTTTCACTCCACTACTGCACTGAAACTACATTTGGCAAGGTCACTAATGACTTCAAGCAGCTAAATTCGATGGCCAGCTCCTAGTCCTCATTCCCTTGATCCAGTCACTGCATTTGAAACAATGAATTTCTCTCTCTTCTCTGAAGCTTTCTCTTCACTTGGCTTCTAGGACTCCACCCTCCACCAGTTTTCTTTCTACTTTATAATCTCCTTTGCTACTCCCTAATCCTCCCCCCACCAGTCTCTTGACATCAGCATGCCCAGACCTCAGTCCTTAGACTACTCACTCCATTAATGATCTTATCCAGGCTCATGGCTTTGAAAACCATCTATATGCTAATGACTGCAAAATTTATAACTCTATCCTAAACCCCTCTCTCTGTCCTGAATCCCAAGCTCATATATTCACCTGTTTACTTTAAGTTCCTCTTGGATATTTTATAGTCCTCTCAATCTTAGCATTTCAAAAACAAACTTCTAAATCTCCTATTTTAATCAGCCCTTTTCATATCCTCCACTTATTCAAACCAAAAATCATGGAATCATCCTCAACTACTCTCTTTTCCTTCAATGTCACATCCAATCCCAGATGAAATCCTACAAGCTCTACCTTTAAAATGTATCTAGAATCGGACCACCTCTCACCTATTTCACAACCACTACCCTCATGTGAGACCCCATATTTCTTAACAGTATCATTACAACAGACCCTCTATAGGTCTTCTGCTTCAGGCAATACCTCCCTGCATTCTATTCTCAAACACAGCACCCAGAGTCACTCTGTTAGTGTACAAGTCATTCTTTTCATCAAAATACTTCAGTGGTTGCCCATTTCACAAAGACAAGATTAGCATCCTCACAATGAGTTACATGGCTCTGATGTATCTGATTTTAAAAAAGAAAAAAAGTAATATTTCAAAATTGAAAGTAGCTTTGATATGTCCCCTAAACAATCAAGCTTTAAACTAAAGTTCTTTGGCAACTCCGAGTGGTTTATGTCAGTTAAGGACAGCTAAGCAGTTGGTACATGCTGTTAGAAAACTAACAGCACAGTAGTTTCCCTGTACACTACTTGATTTTTCTCATGCCAAACACAGTGACAGAATATCATAGGCATGAAATAAGTATTTGCTAAATCAACAAGGGCAAGTACAAGGTCTAAAGCCATCCTGATGACACGGAAGATGGAGACAGTTCACAGCTGAGAAGTGGTCATTAAGCTGGAGAGTACTTCACAGTAATTATGGGGAAATGTGTGTGTGTTTACATATACATTGCTTCTGGAAAACATTTCAAGAGGCTTCTTTCAGTAGAAAATCACTTTCATTCCCAACAAATTGACCTGGCAGCTTTTAAAAAAAGAAGTATGTATTTTCCAATAATAGTATGAAGAATAGCTGATGGGGAAACCAGGCAAAATCTGAAAAAAAAAAAAATTCCATGGCCATGTTTATAATGTAGATGTATGGGTCTTGCCTCAAATTCCATTGTTTGGGGAAAAAATAATCATATAAAACACTTTCGTTGGGGTGCCTGGGTGGCTCAGTAGGTTAAGTGTCTGCCTTTGGCTCAGGTCATGATCTCAGGGTGCTGGAATCGAGCCCCGCGTGGTCTTCTGTGCTTAGCAGCGGCGGGGGTGGGGGGGGGGGTCTGCTTCTCCCTCTGCTCCTCCCCCCCACTTCTTTTTTTAAATTTAATTTTATTATGTTATGTTAATCACCATACATTACATCATTAGTTTTTGATGTAGTGTTCTATGATTCATTGTTTGCATATAACACCCAGTGCTCCATTCAATATGTGCCCTCTTTAATACCCATCACCAGGCTAACCCATCCCCCCACCCCCTCCCCTCTATAACCCTCAGTTTGTTTCTCAGAGTCCATAATCTCTCATGGTTCGTCTCCCCCTCTGATTTCCCCCCCTTCATTTTTCCCTTCCTATCTTCTCTCTCTCTCTCTCTCTTTTTTTTAAACATATAATGTATTATTTGTTTCAGAGGTACAGGTCTGTGATTCATCAGTCTTACACAATTCACAGTGCTCACCATAGCACATACCTCCCCAATGTCTATCACCCAGCCACCCCATCCCTCCCACCCCCCACCACTCCAGCAACCCTCAGTTTGTTTCCTGAGATTAAGAATTCCTCATATCAGTGAGATCATATGATGCATGTCTTTCTCTGATTGACTTATTTCACTTTGCATAATACCCTCTTGAGGGTATTATGCTCCCCCCCTTCTGCTCTCTCTCTCTCTCAAATAAATACATAAAATCTTAAAAAAAATTTTTGTTTTCTTTCTGTAGGATTAAATTGAAGACAAATTAAAGTTTTGTCCTTTCTTTTTGCTGTGGGTGAGCAGTTATATGCTTGGTCTAACAGAGTTTTGAATACCTGGCCCAGATCTGACATTATTAATAGATACTCAGCAGCAGAATGGAATCAATGAATTAGAAGTACTTTGAGAGATTAGAGGTGAGAACTTGTTCTCCCCTAGAAAAGTCAAAGAAAATTAGACAAACCAAAGACTTTAGCAGCATGCACTAAAAAGGAGACAAAGAGAGTTATAAACTTAAACTGGAAGAAATTGTTTTTAGGCAACAGATAGAAATTGTTTTAGAACAACTGATAGAAAATATGAGATGGGTCAAGTTCCTGTAATTTTAGATCTTTTTTTTAAAAATCCTTGCTTAACATGGAATCTCCTCACATAATTATATAAACATATATATTTGCATGTGTATGTATATATATATATAAAATTTAGATTTTTTTCATGTAAAATTTAACTTATTTGAGTAGCTCCTTTACAAAGTCATATTGTAAAATAGTAGTTTCCAATTTGCATATTTTATAAATATGCAAGCAAATTTGAAATTAATTAACTGACATTGAATTGACAATTTTTTATTTTTCAAATAAAGTAACTAAAAACAACAAGAATATTATATACTTTTGTCATTATTTCTAAAATGAAAAGATATATTAGGTAACCCGAATAGGAAAAACAGTATTTTAAAATAAAGAATATTCCTTTAAATTAACAAAATATCTCTTTATAAA